AGTGCACCCTCGAACAAGGTCAAGTAGCGCAACAGCCCACAATGCCAACAATGATGAAATCCTCGAATCTTACATATCTTCAATGTACCATTCCTGCTCCCAGCGATTGACGCTCTCCATCGTACACACGCTCATGTCCCACATCCCACCTTCACTCCCTTTCTCGGGTTCTTCAGGTGCTCCTGCTAACAGTAGCGCCTCAGATGGAAACTCTGCCGCTGTTCTCTCGTGTCCTACCTCTGCAGCCGACCAATTTTCACCGAATCATCCACTAGCTAAAGCCCTTCTTCGCCCTCGATGACCATTCAAACTAGCCACATTTAATGTGTGCACTCTGATGCGTATAAGACAACAGGCCGGTTTAGCTTGTACCCTCGAGACCCTAGCTATCGATGTGCGTTGTATCCAAGAGACTTGCATTCAAGACTCCAGCTTCATTATCCGATTGACGTTCCCATCGAACCAATCCGTGAAGTTTCACTTACGCCTCTCTGGGGACCCTGAGGCTTCGGCTTGCGGTCTTGCTCGCATCGGCGTGGCTCTCAGTAAGGGAGCTAAAGCCGCACTCCTGGACCGGTCTCCAGTCGACAGTAGGTTGTGTGCATTGAGACTTAGAGGTCGTTGCAACTTAAACAGCCGTCGCCCCGATAGACGAAACTTGTTTGTCATATCGGTGTACGATCCAACGGACTGCAGCCCAGACGCAGTCAAAGATGAATTTTACCATAATCTACACGAACTCTTGCGTAAAGCGAGTCGGGCTGATATCGCGATTTTAGCAGGAGATATAAATGCTACAGTAGGTCGTCTGACTTCGAGTGAGGTGCATCTGGGAGGTCCTTTCGGTAAACGGGGAACGGCTGTTGGCTCTATGTTCTAACCACCGCCTATTCCTTGCCAGTAAGAACTTCAGACGCTCCAACTGCAGATACACCACTTGGCGTACACCCTCCTCGAGTCAGCAACAAACGCAGATGGACCACATCGCTATAAGCCACAAATCGCAGGGTTGTATACAAGACTGCCGATCGTACTGGAGCACTCCCATCGAGTCCGGCCACGCATTAGTTTGCGCCAAGCTGTCCATGTGCTTCGCTGGGTGTTCCAAATGCACGACAGAACAACGGTTAGACTGCGATAAGTTATCTGAACCAGCACGCCTAACTTTTTTCACCTGGGGATCAATAACGGTTTTAGGTAAATGCGAACGTCCTTGTGACTTCATACAAAGTTATGCCATGCACAGCACCCATTCCTTCAGTGGTAAGCATTGATTCTTCCCTCACTTATGTAATGCGTGGCACAAAGTATCTGCTAGGGGAGCAGTTCTCGCTGCCTGACCGTGTCAAAATGTGTTTTCATTAAGGCGAAAGGTAAATAGAAAGAGAAGACGAATATTGTGAAATAGTAACACTTCGGTTGATCTTTTCAAGCTGACATTTCTATAAGAGTGTGCGAACTAATTCGGTAAACGAAAATAAGGGAAGGGGGCTGTTAATAGTGTGAACAATAAACTGAGGTCATATCCGCTGTAAGTAGAGCACCTGTTTTCATATCTTCTGGTTAAAAAGAACAAGAATGTGTGATTCAATTAGCAGCCCTTTGTTTTAGGCAGTAAACTTTAATTGTATTTCAGTAAGATAAACATTAACACTTCACAGTAACTGTCTTCTTTACACACTGAGGAAATGAATAGGGCATACTCGAAAAATGCGAAAAGTTAACATCTGAGACCTAAATGGTCAGATCAATCATGGGGAGACGGAGACACCAATTTCAAACCACCAGCACAAGCGTGATCTGGAATCCCTCTGGCCCCCTCCATCACTCGCGGATGCGAGTCACAAATTTTGGGATTCTGATCGATATAACTCGGTGAAAGCTTCCCATAGACGATCATCTTGTTGCTTTGACCAACCAAAAGCTTTATTTGTAAATCCCTTATAAAAAACATCTAATTGCATT